GTGATGTTACTCTGAGTGTATATCCACGCCGGGGTGGGAATTGAACTGAGTCTAGTTCTTTCGATATTAATGTAGTTCCGAAATATCACCAACTCGAACCTCGACCTTGACAACCTCGACAACTTGACCTCGTAGCTCAGTTGGTAGAGGACTGGCTCAGTTGGTATCCCAAAGGTCGCGGGTTCGATTCCCACCGTGGTCAGGTAAACATTTCAGCTTGCTCGTTGTGGATACACACTCAGAGTAACATCACAAACAACATATTTGTTCGTTTTACTTATTTTCAACAGTGCATGTGTTTTCCTCTTTTGCACCGTTTTCTGATGCTATTTTTGATAAACATTTCTCTAGGTACTAGAAGAACAACTTAGAGTGGAGAAATCACGAGAGGCCGAGTTAGACATGTTGTACAGGTATTAGAATTTGAAATATCACATTTTAAATACTCGGGAACATAAATGAATCTGACAGTCTGTGCAGCCAGTGTAGGAGAGACGATAACACGACAGCCAGTGGCGTACCGCTCATTGGGTAGGGTCGCCGACAGTTAGGGCCCCCATCAGCCACGGGCTATCGCCCAGAATATTAGAAAACGTAAAAAATGCAGGTTAAGAATCAATGGGAAAATGCAAAATTAATAATGCTAAAGAATCAACCTCCATCGACAACGGTAGCTGATTTTTTTATTCCATCTCAAATAAAACAAAAGTTATTCTTATTAGTTGTTGCATGTGTTGGAGACTGTTATTGTTCAGTGTTGTTATAGACATGGAATTTTCCAGAACATTCAATAAATATTCAATATAAATATAATATCTCAGTCAAACAATGCAACAGTCAACAAGGGCCCCCACACCAAATATACCTAAGGGTCCCCTCTTCCTCCGATACGCCGCTGATGATAGCTGTGGATTGAATGGGATACAACTACCTGAAAAATACAAGGAGAACTTCGACGTTTCGAGCCCTGGTCTTGTTGATCGGGAAAATTACATGTGCTTTTATACTACTAAATATAATAGCGATCACGTGGCTAACTTGTTTTCATTTCGTGCAGGGATGAAGCTGCCCGGATGTGGCAGAAACGTGACGCGGAATGGGAGAGAGAGAGACTGGCGAGAGAAAGATTGATGTCTGAAGTATGTCATTATATTAGGGAAGCACATGTGTTTTACACCGAGTCTGTTACCTCAAACACTTCCTATCATAGACGGATTTTCATATTTTTTACTGGGGTGGTACCAGAAATTTTAGGGGAGTGAGCCATGAGCAGGTGACTGAAGCAACACAAAGTGTCACCAAACCCCAGTAAGGTCTATATTCTAGGGGTGGGGCACTAGAGCCACGAGGGGGAGTCTAGAGAGCAGAAAACAAAGTATCCCTGGAAAAATTTGAAAAAAATCATGATTTCTAGCTTCGAAAAAAAGTTTTTTGAAGAGTGTCATATCAATGGATTTGGCATGTCCGATTGTCTGTTGAGACTTGAGAGAGTTAAAGTTAAATGAACCTGTAAAAGTGTAAACCCAATAGGCCAATACACAATATGCTTTTACTTTTATAAAGTCATTAACATTGAACGTGTCGTTTGAATCCGAATACAATTTATGATGCAACTCTGATGTAAATAATATTTGGGGCGTAAAGATTAAATCTAGGCAAGTCTATTTCCTAAAAGAATTAAAAACTAAAAATAATGTTCGTAAAAATTCCAAACGTTCCTTGCAAGCAAGCTATTTGCATGACAAGGCACTACAAACTCTATTCAGGGGAGATAATAGAGTTTCAAAACTTTACAATTGCTCCAATAAACCAGTGAATGCAAGCGAGGAGCGATTAGTTTCACAGTGTTGCACTGTCTTTTTCTATTTGAGTGTACTCCTACGTTTATTTTGTACCATCAACACTCTGCACGTTGGAGTGGACTATTTGATTATTTTTTATTATGCCGAATATTGGAGGGGGGGGGAGGGGTTGAAAATTTTTTTGGAGGGGTGGACATTTTGTTTGAGGGGGTTATAGCTAATATTGGGGGTAACAACCCACCCCCCCCAAAATCCATCTATGACAAACGGACAAGTTGTCGAATCTGTACGTTTTCATATCTGACGACTTGTTGGACTAAAAGACGATTTGTTCATCTAGATGACTTGTCCGTCTTCTAATGCGAAAACGACTAATAACAAAACATCTGTGGGAGAGGTACCATCAGTGGTGTATGCAAATTTCAACTCATCATTATTCATTTCTTTAGAAATTGATTGTGTTGATAGTTTATAAACATGGCCAATATTTGCATAGCGGGACTGAATTGTCAGGCTGGCTGGGTACCATCAAAAGATAAAATCAAATTAAGTAAACTAAAATACCTTGAGTAGTATTTGCTGGTGCTTGTGCATGTACATATGCTACCATACAGACCACAAAACCTATAAATGGAAAAGATATTGTTGTTTTAGGGCAAGACAGTTCTTGTAAGAAACTGAAAACCAGCCAAACAAGGAGGTTCGTTTTTTAAGATACATTCAAAACTATACTTGAAAACATGTACAATGCTACTCAGAATGTGAGCCAAGTGACAACTTGGCCCAGAAAAGCAATCTAGCCCTGTCGGGCCAGCCCAGCTCATATTAACCTAATGAGTGGCAGTACTCTCCCCAACGAGTAAAATCGTCTGGCATTAGACTGAATAAAATAATGGAAACCCTTTAGGTGGCAATGCACCCTACTCCATTATTTTTACTCAGTCTAACGCCAGATTATTTTACTGTCTAACGCCAGAAGGGCCTAACATATAAATTGACTGCAATTTTTAACAACGCTGAAAATAAGCAAAACGTTCCGTGACACTTACATAAAATAACAGTTGAAGTCCTCATCTGCAAAAATAAAACAATATAAAACATATTAACAGCCACACTCATATTAAAAATATCATTTTAAATCAGCTTTTGCCAAAACATAGGTAACACCTGCCTTGCCCACCCATTTATATTATTGATGCATTGTGAAAATTAGCCGATGCGCTCTGTAAACATGGATAGTTCAAAGACGCCCCAAGGGAATCATTTGCGACCCAAAGCAGAAGCGAAACTCATTTTTTTTCCGCTTTTGAAACTCGACACCTCGTCTGAAATGAGAGTTTGAAATCGAATTCCTGTGACAGGTGTGGGTCTCCTCGAAAGCAAGTTCAAAAGTCAAAATCATTACGCAGAAACATTCGCAAAATGTCGTTTTAAAACGACTTTTCCAGTAAGATTTTTTTTATGAATGTAGAACAATCATTCTTCGAAGCAACCACGGCGGCTGCTAAATAAATACAACTAATGCACGGCTTGTGGCCAAGGAAACGCCTTAATATCGCGGTTTTAATCTTTGAATCCCAAACAAAAAGAAAGTTTCTCTTTTAGGTTGCTTGTGCGAAGGCCGGATAGCCCCAACACGAAGTGTATAGACTAGAAATACTTATATATATATATATATATATCTCACAAAAAAACGACGACCAGTTTAAAACTCTATTACAATTAAAAACGCGAAAGGTAATTATTCAAAAGCAGTCAGTATGGATCATCTATTTGCTTTTAGTAAACGACGGCGAGTCAAATAAAGGCTTCGCCGCTATGGAAATGAAAAAACAACACAGACAAGGAGTTGTCGCAATCTTCGAAAAGTCAAACATTTAGAACGCATAGAAGAAATTAGAACTCGTTCTTGCAACATAAAAACACGATAATTGTGTTCTATTTCATCAACATAAACCTTATTTCCATATCTTGTTATAAATCATTAAGCAAAAACGTTTCTACATTGTTGAGCATTATTATAAAGGCCCACTGTGGTTCGCAATAAAACAGACTCAATAGAGCCGAACGAGGAATGCGTTTCTGAATTCGCCAGACCCATGTGCTTTGTTCATGATTTTTTATTCTTATCTCTATGTTGATATCAAAAAGGCCGATATTTTGGCCAATATTACGGCAAAATTACTCAAACTACACTTATTCTTATCAACCCTAAGCTAGATGAGCTTTTTCTCAAGCAAATGCGTGTCACATCTAAACGACACAAGGAAATCGAATCAGAGACAACACCCTTTTGAAATCAAATTCAATTTTGCGCGTAATTTTTCTTTCCTCGCCGAGTACGAACGCCTTGCAGTGAATGGCGAGGCGATATTTTGTTATTCCCGAACGCTACCTGTAATAATGGAAGGAATATCGAGTAAAATTTCAAATAATCTGTTAATGGAAGTAGCTTCGTATTCAAACGGTCAAGTTTCAATCTGCCCTTCAGAATGGGTAATAAACTCGTGTATTTTTATAACTTGTGATGCTTTATACGCAACTACAAGTTACACGACACATTCATAATGAAATAGACAATATTCTTACCTTTATTTGTTGCTTAGAAAATGAATCGAGGCTTGAATACAAACCAAAAAGTCTGCTCAAGGGTAAATGGAAGGTAAAATGAACGTTGATCGACGCGCGTTCAATTCCACATTTACTCTCCGCCCTGTCACATGATCTACACACCTTCTGATTGGCTGAGAGAGAGCGTTCATTTGACAATCACGTGCGCGCAACTGCCCCCTGGGGGTTATGCGCAAATTACATTCATATGATCACGAAATACGATCCTTCCCAATTATACAAAGTAAACTATATAAATTTTACATGATATCATTGTAAAACATTGAAAAGCATTGTTAGATATTGTTATTACACAGACATGTTACTACAGCAAGCTTCAAAAATTGAAGACAACAGCGAATCCAGCTTCTGAAAATGCGCTATTTCACTTGGAGATTCTTTTTAGAATTCCGTGCGTTTGACGACATAGGAGCGGGCAAAGTCCGGCGTGGTTGTTTGTTGATCTTACAGCGTTGCATGAGGCGAAAAATTAAACGAAATCAATAATTGATTTCATTAACTTCGTGGTCCAGTCGCGCTTTGTGACAAGATTATTTCAATACGGTTATTACCTGCCTGTGAATTGGAAGATGGTTTTACGATTAATTCGTGGTTTCCCAAGTGCTTCTGCGAGTTGACTGTTGGGTTTATGAATATATATAATTATACTTCTTTGAATTGACAAGCGCAAGTTTCTACAGGCTTCTGAGGCTACATGTTATACACATGTACCTGATAGTTTTTCGCAACGACGTGAAAAAAACCAGGACCTTTTTAATATAGGAACGCTATTTTCACGAACGCTATTAAATTATTGCAACGGAGTGATGTTTCATTCTGTATCAGATAGGTGCTTTTTCCCGCCGCTACGAAAAGCTATCCAGTAGTGTAAACACGGCCTGAACTTTTACATATAGCGAAATAAACATTGATGAATATGTATATATCTCTAAGTGCACGACCCCACAAGCTTATGCTTTAAAAATTATCGTGCTTAAATAAAGTCATATTATTATTATTATTATATGTCATTGAAAGATAAAACGCGCGAGAAACACTGAACACAGGAAGTCTCAAGGCCAACGATTTGTTGGGAAAGCTTTATTAATATTTAGCCAAAAGATAAAAGCAGGATTTAAAAAAGTTCTCTCGAAACTTCCTGTTAAACTTCTGTCAGAATTGTTTAGTTTTTGTATAACACACAACTTTTATTATGTCAGTATGAATAATTATGATGATGATGATGAATGCGCGCAATTTTGATCTCTTCTTTTTGGCGTCATATAAAATATTGCGCAGTCACTGGTTTCGTCATTTTTGTTTATAGAAGTTTGTCATTGTCCGTTCAAATTTTTGGTCATTGTTTCGTCTGTGACATGATTTTTCTTTGAAAATATATATTATTCATTATAACAAATATAATAGTCAGCAAATTAGTCAGTGACCTCTTGAGTCATGTAAGCGGAGAATTTGTATTTAACTTCCTTGAATACTTTGAGCGGATTAAATTTGAAAAAAACATTTCATTGATGCAATTTATAAATACTATAAACTGAGGCAAAAATGTGTTGTATTTGGATTCGAAATACTCAATCTGGACTTCAGATCTCTATTTTGTGATCACATTAATTAAACCTTTCATAAGCACACACCTGCCGGGTAGCTGGCGACTTTAGATGTCAAGTTAAGAGATCATTGTGTCACTGTTTATGAGAATTGATTTTTTGTTTAATTTAATAACCAACCCCTTCACGCAAGCCACCCGTATTTATATTACAGTTCCAAGAGTAGGCAGACTCTGGATATTTGACGTCGATGACAATAAACAGATAAAAACACTAGCTCTGGGTCTTGTGAGATCCACATTTTGTTTGCTTCACGCCAACATAATTATGAACCTCGTGTCGTGATAAAACCTCGTGATAATGGTCGCAAGTGGTGGGCTGTAAAAAGGTCCCTAGTTTGGATCAGACGTGCACAAACTCGTACACTCGGAGATTAGTGTATATAGCTTTGATCTGACCCCAGTTAATACAAGTTTCACTATCGCAGGTTTTTTCCTGTACTGCGGTAGTAACTAGTAAGGCTGGACACCGCCAATGAGGAATGTGGCAGGAAAAAAGAATTTTCTTCCTGGGAGCACAACCTGGAGACAAAAATCCTCTGCAGACCAATGGAGTATTTTTCGTGCTAAATCTGCATGTGCATAAACATATACTTCCAGGTGATCTCGTGTTCGTATTTTAGCCAATCAGCGCTCAGAAAGGGTTGTCCGAATAGAAATCCATTTTGATGTATTCAGTCAATTATATCTTTCGTTATTCTTTATG